CGGAAGAGAAAGCATCGGCGCCCACAGCGTTCTGCCCGCAGCGGACAAAAACGCCGGAAAAACGTTAACAAAGCTGTAAAACTGCGTGATTACCCGCAAATATTTTTAATGTGTCATCGAAACGAGATTTTACTTATGACGCTCTTTGCTCGAATGGACCATTATTTAACCGCGAGTTTGTTTAAACAAGCTCGCTTCCTGATCCGATATTTGAAAGGGTAATAAAGTTGAGAGGATGACGGATTTGTAAAATCGAATATTTACACTCATGGTCAATTATGGCTTTTGTATTTTCCATACAAGATTATATATCACAAGAAAAAAAAGACGTAGAAAATGTCTATTAAAAAATTAAACTAACTTTGTACTTGAAGCATAAAAATGCATAAAGAACACAATGTCACGTCAGAGAACTGAAGAGCAAAGCCAGTGGTAGATGGTGGATTTATCAGATTTTATATTTGTTTACGGAAAAAACTAGGAAAGATTTCTTAATTCATTTTAATTCATTTTTTTACGTTTCCAAATTTAGCTTTCGTAATTGTAGACGCGTTCACAAGATGTGTAAACCAAATTGGTTTACTGTTGACAGAATAGATAGAGAATAGTGGAATCTTTTCGATTGCAAACAATCGTTTACCGCAACAATGCAACTTGCGTAATTCTAATAAACGCGAAGAAATTTACAACTTGTTCTTTCCAAAACCGGACGTGGACGGTGAAATTGAGAGACATGAACGCGATGTAATCTTGACGATGCATTCATAAGAAAATCTCTGTTGCCACTTCGACTCGATTGGTTACCCGGAGAACTCGTGCAAAACGCACGAGAAACGAAAGTGCGCGGATTATGCAAGACACGAAATTAATAACGGAAAGCCGGAGCATATTTATAACGCGTTTTTTTAAATGCATGTCGGATAATTGAAAGTTAGGAAAGTGAAGGAGAAAAATTATTTCGCGGCCGCATGATCATCGGCGTTGCAATTATAATACACTGCGTGGTATCGTTAATTCCGGATTTGCATTCGTATTACTCGACAATAATTTCAAACTCACTCAACCTGTGTAAAATTATGAAGAAATCGTTGCAGCATCGTGCACAAGTGTGTTTGCATAGCAGGTTGTCCTGCGCTAGAGAAACGGCCAAAGGTTAGTTTTATGGAATATAAATAAGAAAAAGTTATAGCAAGCTTCTGCACCAAAATAAAGAATGATTAAAAATGCAGCAAATAATTATTTTGAAAGTTATAAGTCAATCGTCCTGAATATAGAAGATTGAAGTACACGAAGATATAAAAGCGCGCGTAGAAAAAAGATTAAACAATGGTTATCATTCATAGTTATAAAAAAAAATTATACCGTTGATTAAATACGCGTATTTTAAGACAGTCTATTAAAAAATTAAACTAACTTTGTACTTGAAGCATAAAAATGCATAAAGAACACAATGTCACATCAGAGAACTGAAGAGCAAAGCCAGTGGTAGATGGTGGATTTATCAGATTTTATATTTGTTTACGGAAAAAACTAGGAAAGATTTCTTAATTCACAAGTGTGTTTGCATAGCAGGTTGTCCTGCGCTAGAGAAACGGCCAAAGGTTAGTTTTATGGAATATAAATAAGAAAAAGTTATAGCAAACTTCTGCACCAAAATAAAGAATCACTCAAAAAAATGTCTTGCTGATATAGGTAGATTTCTAGGTGTCACAACAAAAATTTATCGCTATTTTTTGTATCTGTTAGAATATTGTCTGTTACATATAGAATTTATAGCAGCAACATTCTAATAATATCTTCTAGAAAATTTAGGTCCCATTGCCAAATGTTAATCACTGCATTGGATAAATATGAGTTTCGATACTACAGAACGATCTTTGTGAGAAATATAACTGCCAATTATAACTGCAGCATCGAAAAATTGAGAAAAATTGTTTAAAAGAGCTAGATAGATTGAGCGCGTTATACAAATATGTTAGACGTGAGGATTATATATTCATTTGTTTCTTGCCGCTAATTTTTTCTGTCTACCACAGCCAAACTTTATAACAAGTATGATTGGCCTTAACATGGATAGGCGCCACAGAAAAACATTCTTTCTAAATTTCACAAACAGTTCAGATATAAATTCTGTCTCTGTCACTTAGATTGATTAAATGCGAAACATATGCGATATCACAGTATTTGCTAATCATTTATGTACCTCAGTTAATTTTGCGCACCAAGAAAATTTTTGCTGTAGTTGCAATACCACTTTTTTGAGTGTACGATTATTCTCACAATACTTTATGAATTATCTATGCTTTGTCTTCACAAAATATAATACTTTAAAAAATTATATGGAGATACATTTTTAAAGTTACAATTAAATATTCGCGCATGAGAGAGCGTTAGATGCGCGGCGCATTCGTTTTGATACAGAGGAAAAACGAAAGGAAGGAAGTCGCTGCACCGTAACGACTGATGTTTCCGTTTGGAGCAGCGGCGGCATAGACGAAAACTCGTCGGCGGAATAAAAGTTCCACCGGTGCTTCCACCGGAAGCAGCAGCCGTTGCGCCATTATCTATTTCGTTTTTCATTCACATACGTTCGGATGCAGGTGTGAGTACAGCTTTAGGTACGGAACACCTACGAATAATATAGTTGAGAGCGTAATAGCTCTAAAATAACGAGAATCCACCACCAAGATAAAAATTTCCACGTAAAATTCTATTCCATAAATTAATAACGTATTTTACATTATAATAGAATTATCTATGGTTGCAATACCACTTTTTTGAGTGAATGATTAAAAATGCAGCAAATAATTATTTTGAAAGTTATAAGTCAATCGTCCTGAATATAGAAGATTGAAGTAAACGAAGTAATAAAAGCGCGCGTAAAAAAAAGATTAAACAATGGTTATCATTCATAGTTATCAAAAAAAATTATACCGTTGATTAAATGCGCGTATTTTAAGACAAAAGTTCGAGACTTATCAGGTTTAGATTTCTTCCATAATATCCGTTACGCTTTTATCGTCAAGTACCGCGATCATTTACTTACGCCAGAAGACAGCTGAAATATTCACACGTGGATACAATGCATCGTTCCGCCTGCACGAGATACACCGTATCTAATACAAGACGCCTTGGCGGACAGATAATCGCATCGCGCCAAATCTAAGGTGTCTCACCGTCTGGAGATTGGCCGAGATATTGCGTTACGTTAATTACGCGCTATCGCGGTTGCCGTTTAAAAGCGATGGGAACTCTGAACAAAAAAATTATGTTGTTTTATTTTTCCTACATCATGGATATTGTATTGGGTAAACAAGTATTTCTTATGCTGAATTTAAATGCATTTTTAATTTTCTATTTCTATGAAAGATCTGTCTCAAATATTTGGCGATAATTAGCATATATCTTCTTCTCACTTGCCCTAATGTTTCCATTAGAGAGAGAGAGAGAGAGAGAGAAATTTAATTTACTTAATAATATCAATATATCGTTCTTATAAGTAGCAATTTTATGAAAAATCTTTACGTATTTTAAACTATTTAAATAGTAATTGTTATATACATTTTGAAATATCAGTTATCCCCTTTTATTTATATATATGTATAAGTTAAGACTAATAAAAAATTTTGACTACATCTTTAAGTTTTTTGCATAAAAAATCTGCTTCAATCATTGAGAATGATATATGTGGCAATGATTATGTTCGCAAGTGTAATGAGAGTCGTGACTGGAAATCGACCAGCTGAGGAATCGCCGGCAGAACTGGATAAATCTCAATACAAAGTCAATTACGGCTGGCAGCTACGATCACTACGGTGGGCGTTTTTATTGCAATATAATTCCATATAAAAGAGCAATTACGTAAAAAAGGAATCATGCATCAATGTAACAATGTAACCGATGGATCGAGATTTCGAATTTATTTCCGATTCCTCTATTAAGGTTATCACAGCAGTCGAGAAAACGATGATATCCTGATATGCAAACATTCACTTTTTTAAATATCTAATTAGTCGTTAATTAACCTACCGATTCTTTAATTATAACGTGGAAAATCACGAAGAAATAATACGTAGTAATATAGGGCATCGAATGAAACCATATTTTTCGCGAAAGCCGAAATTGATCTCTCAGATCTCGCACCAATCTCTCGAGAACGAAAGAGCGAGTATCTTGTAAGTTACATAACGAAGAGAGTGGTAATAGCAATGATAGTAATAGAAGCAGAGATTATTATCATTTTAAAGTAAGCTTTCTAAAAATATACGGATATGGTTACGGATACCAAAATATACCTAATAATTATAAAACATTTATACGCATGTCAAATAAATTAATAATCCAAACACAAATTCTTAAAAAAAATGTCCTATCAATTCTGACGTTCTATAAATAAAATTAAAATAATTAATATTCAATCAAAATGTTTCTATTTAAATTCGAGATTTGAATCAATCAGAATCGGTTTCCTCGTTTTGTCGGTCATTCATCGATAAATAATCATCGAGATACCCGGTAAGCGATTTACGAACGAATGTCACGCATTGTTCCCGACGCCTGGGAGGAGCGAAAGTCGAAACGATGATCCTCGATTGGTCGACCAACCTCACCACAACCGGTAGGCATCAAGATAATTATACCGCCGCGATAAATTAGCCCGGCTTGTCACACGCCAAGCAGAACCTGTCCCGAGATACGAGGAAACCTTGTTCGATCCGCGGGATTTCACGGCGACCAATAAAGACGCT